CCCACACTCCTCTCAGGTCGTCAGATTCCACAAAAGCACGCCACGCGCTCAGAAGGAGATTTTTATCGGAGCTTTTACCGTCTCCACAAAGGACCCTGTCACTTTGGTCCGTCACGCGCACGTCAGCGCGTGCCCAACAGTGATGTTCGGACAGAGTGGAGAAGGTTTAATATCCCAAATAACAGATGTGACTCATTTCCAGGTGTCTTTTTGCCCGTTATATCAGAAACAGGCCTGTGTTGAGGTCACACACCTGCGGGCTGCTCACCTGTGTGGATACAAACGCAGGTCTTTAATTGGCTTTAAATTAGACACATCACTACGTCCTTATTAAGTTTTACTTTCCCTGAATGTTCCTTTGTAAACTTCCTTTTCGTTTCATCCATCTATCGATCTGTACCCTGCGCACCGTTTGTCCCCCAACACGTGCCCAAATGGTCCGAAAAGAGGCGGCACGAGCTTTTGTTGAGGTGAGAGAACACAAGGCGTGTGCCGCGTGGCCGAGGGGAGGAGGGTGGGGGGGCTGAGCCGTGGGAAAGTCCGCTGAGGTGTGAGCGGAGGGAGCTGAACCAGGCGTCAAGACTGACACCTGCACAGACATGCGCAGACCGCCAAACGGGTGACTGTTCTCTTGGCCCCGCCCTCTCTTACCTAACAGAGACAGAAGGTGAAAGATGATCATTTTTATTGATGAATAATGATTTACAAATGATTTCACAAAGCTTCAGTTTGTTCCTAAAATTTGCTGTATTTATTTTTAAATAAATAACTACATTCTGTCAGACACTTGCGGAGGGTGGGAACAAACCTTTAGAGTGTTTATTATCAGAATATATTGATCTCAAGTTTCAGATGCTCGCCTGCACAACATCAAGGAATTCTAAATCTAAGAACATAATAACTGGGTATTAGTGTATTTGAATGAAACAAATAAACGATGCTTTAGGCTGCATTCTGTGTGAATCTGTGTTGTTGGGGGGGGGGGGGGCATCCTGAAGGTGCTAGTTTTCAGACCCTGCAGTCTGTTAACTCTGCTAGCCTGCTGTTAGCATCTGACAGCAAAACAATCCTGAGCTGCAGGGGGCCAAATGGCCTCGGAGCTGCCTCATGTTCCCAGGTTCACACCTTCAGGCTGAAATGTAGCTGTGACCTAAAATAAAATATGTTTCTAAAATAAAATACACTCAAGTAGCTTTTTACCTTCTCAAGGTGGAGAAGGAAATGATGTGAGTTTCATTGATCTGCAGCAAACACACCATGAAGACCTGACCGACACCTGCTCTGAGGAAAGAGCTCGAGCTGCTTCTTTGCAGGTAGGTGTGAGCCCCGCCCCCCTCCTCCCGCCACTTGTTCCCTCCTTTCAGGAGTTTCTACAAAACAAAGCAATTAACATGTTTTATAAGGCGGAAGACACGCGCCTGCGCGCGCACACGACAGAAGCATTTTAACATGTGCGCGCACACTTCAGCGCCATTAACATCTGTTCATGTAAAAGAATCAGTAGAGCTTCCTCACGTTAAATACACACATGTTCACATTATAGTGCTCCTTTTAGTCACGTGTTTTATCACTTTAGTTAAATATCTTTCAGCTCTGATGAGATGTAAAAACTTCAGGTGCAGTATTTACTCAGTGCTACTGAGAAATATATTTATATTATATAATTACTTTACAGCTTTCACATTTAAAACCTGTGATCAGTTTAGAAAAATGCTGTGTGCCCTGTAATTATTTCAAATGAGCTTCACATACACCAGCTACAATATCAAAATGCCGCTGAATCAGTAATAATAATTCATTGATACCGTACAGTTTGATAATAGACTAAATAATAAAACACATTTAGCTTCCATGAAAAAGGCAGGACGTTTACTTGGCAGTTAATTTAATAATAATAATAATCTTTATTTATGGAGCTGTTCCTCTGGAACAGACCTCTGCCCGAGGATCTCCAGGTAGGTGCCGGTGCGTAAGGGACCAAAAGGTCAGAGACAGCAGGGAGGGAGGCCACGAAGACGCTGAAAAGTAATCAATAACATTCTGTGTTCTTTGTTCTGGTTAAAAGTCTGACGGCTGACTTCTGTTCAGTCTGCAGTCGATCAAGATCTAAAAAAGTATGCGAATACTTCTTCAGCCCAGACCATGATGACCCCTCACAGGACAGGTAATCAGAAATGATGCAAGTGCTTCACGAAAGGAGGCAGACATCGAGCTGAAAACGCACAAATACTAAGACGGGAGAAAGTCTAAACGAAAGCAAATCTAAAAAAGTTCAGGAGCTCCAACCTCAAAGTCACTTCTTCTATCTTATTTTGTCTGGAACCAGGAACAACCAACAGACCCCGATCAGAGCTCAGGGTCCTGATGGTGATCCAGGGCTGCAGGGGCTCTAAACCTGATCACAAGAGTCTGAATGTGACAGGGAGCAGTGTCACGTGACTTTGGACTTATTGTGAGCGTAGGCACCAAATGTCCTCTGCGTGAAGGCAACAGATTAGTTGAATTGTTCCGAAGACGTGTGCCCTCACGTCATCACAACCTTTACTGCAACTAACAGCTCTTTGGTCCAGAAGGAGAGTTAGCCGGTGGTCCGCTACTTTCAACTTCTAATCTGTGACATCAGGATTTTTAAAAACACTTCTGCAAACACCTCATTAAATCAATCACTGTAGAAGGTGCGCATGCTTCCCTCTGAAGCCTCCAAACTCCACCGAGTCCTCAGTTTATATTCGAAACAGCTTTGGGTAAATAAGAGCAGCAGAGAATCTCCGTGAAGATCAGTTCACGTGGACGAGAAGGCAGGTTGATCCTCCTCCTTCTGACTGAACGAAGTACAAAGAGGAAAGTTGCTGCTCCAGTTCATTTAAAGAGAGCACGCTGCTCTTTGTTTTCTTTCCAAAATAGGGTTTATGATGTTGTAAGAGCCTTTTATTGGGCGTAATTTATTTTCAATAAAGAATCTGGCAGGACTGTGGGTTCACTTTATGTGAAGTTGGAGCTGGTGAGTGTTCCGGCTTTTTTATTGCAAAGTTTTCCCTATTTGTACATTTGTGTACCCAGGATGCCCCACGGGACTCATATATGCTTCATTTTTGTGAGTGGGTCTGCTGCCCCTTATGGTTTGCCCTTGGAGCACAAATGAACCCCAACTCCTCATGTCCCACGGGAGACATCAGCCACAATTATAACCAGTCAAGCCTTTGCTTAAGTACAAATCATGACATGTCCTCTCCTCTCTGCTGCTGTTGCCTTTAAATATAGCAAACATGTTGAAAATAAATCTTTCAACTTTCTTAAAACGTTCATAAAACTTCAAAAATCACAGTCAGACAAAAAGCAAAACTTCTCAATCAGAAAACAAATCAAAATGATCAAAATGGACTTTAGTCAAAATTATAAGATTCAAATTTTAAGATTTAAATAAATCAGAATTATGGGAAACAAAGCAAAAAATTCTACTTAGGTCAAAAATAAACAAGTTCAAATGAATGAGAAGCAAGAACAAGTTGTATGATACGAAGTATCACTGAGTAACAATTCACTTAAAAAGTGAGACAAAAGGAAAAATTCTGGTTCAGTGAAAAGTTTAATAAAATAAAAATAATAATACGGACTTTCAAAGTCAAAATTCTGACTTTTAAGATTTAAATAAATCAGTTATGGGATGGAAAGCAAATATTTCGACTTAGGTCAAATACTTTAAGTCAGAATTGAAACTTTGACAAATGAGATGCAACAAACTGCATGATGCAAAGTTAAAATGCTGAAACACAGTTCAGTTAGAAAGTGAGAGATAAAATGAACTTTTCTGATTCAGTAAAAAATTGAAATAAATTAAAAATACACTATAAAGTAAAAGTTTCAACTTCAGTCAAAAGTATGATACACAATAAAAATGTGCACTCTAGTTGAAGCATTTAGGTTTCAAAGTCTAAATTAGGACTAAACGTTTCAATAAATCAATGAAATACTAAGAAAATTCTGAAAAAGCTTCTTATTTCATTTTCATACATCTGAATTTTGTCACATAAGTTTGACTTAGTATCTCATTATTTTTTATGCCCAAAGTATTTTTTTAATCATCCTGACTCATGGAATCAGTTTTTTTTCCTGGCAGAATATGGCAAACTCAACGTAGGTCTGGTGAAGATCCAGAGCTGCTGGTTGAAGGTGGGAATCACCCCTGCTGCTCGTGTTCCTATATTTGTGCCAACAATAGGTTCATCGTTTCCCATCATTCCCTCTGGACACGGACGCCAGGCTAATGAGGCCGGGGGATCGCGGCATTTCGGAGGCGATAATTGTCCCGACACCTTCACAGGATTTAAAGACGGGCGGTGGTGGTGAAGCAGGAATCCAACAGAGGGGAGACCAAAGAAAAACAGATTTACAGGTTCAAGGCACCGCTGGGTTTCTGCTTTAAATCCAAGAATGTTAAAGATTCCTGCGGTTTCCATCTTTTGTTTTCCCATAGATTAAACATATACAGGAGGACTCACATGTTCCCTTTAAACCTGGAGCCTGGAGAGGTAAACAGATTCTTTACAGTGGTCTCTCTCTTTCCTTCTGTACGCCCCACAGAGGTAAGATTACTTACAGAAGCTAAGACGCTGTGATATATCGGATTCTAAGCGAGACTCAAGGATCTTCAGCCATTAAAGGCGTTGTTTGTTGAACATTATTTGGACTTCTGTACAGAACAGGATGGTTTGAGTGAGAGAATATTTTAAAATGTGGTCGTTTTTAGAAAATCTAAACGAGTGGAAATTCAGTTTAAAAGGGGGAAATTAACTTAAGGAAAGAGGTAACTTTACAGCCATAAAAGCAATTCAGATTATTTATATAACATTCCATGGTTTTCTACTTTGATATGAGGACCAAACTCCAGTCAAACAATGCTGAGTTTAGGACACAGAGGGAAAATCTACTTTTGCAGCAGCTAGCTGTGTTCAAAACCGTTTAACAAAGCAATATAAAGTCAATAAAGTCGACACAACATGTTTGTTTCCTTCCTTTATTGAGAATGTCGATGGTGAGTTCACATCAACGTGAGTCACAGAGTCTTTAACGAGCACATGAAGAACAGCAGCTGAGCCTGAAACACCGTCCTCTCCGTCATGGGTTCTCTGTCCGGATGGTTGGTCTCTCCGGGGAGGGAGAGCCAAGGATAAGAGAATTAAGATGGACTAGAAATCTCACAAAAAGAATTGTAAAAAAAACAGACCTCCTATGCAATTATACACGTGTGTTATATGTGAAGAGACTCACGTCTTCAGAAGGAGCCACAGACAGGAAGTCACACTGACATGTTGTTGAGTCTTTTTAGAGGATTTGCAGATTTTATCTGGTGTGTAAATGTTATCAGGAGGAAAGAAAGTGGTTTAATTCTTCATTTCCTCTCTCCACCACTGGGCTCAGCTGCCAGTTTTCATTGCGGCCACAAGCCAGGGGCGATTGCACGTCCACGCCGCAGTCGCCGCCGCACATACTGAATAGACTCCTAAGAATTTTTTTTTTTTATTATAAACAATATTTATTACTTTAACATCGTCTCCAGCAGCCATCAGCACAGTTCGCGACACACACACACACACAGGAATAGGAAATAAAATACACATTCTGAAGGTGTGGTACAGGACAGAGCTCTGCTGATCTCAGGTCAGATCCTGTGAGCGGCGGCGCCGACCAGCGCTGGAGTGGCGATAGCAGCGCTGATCTCAGAACAGCCTCCAACCGCCAACAACAAGAGTTTAACGTGACCCTAAGCGTCTCTCTCTGTCGCTTGTTTTAACCAATCAAGCAGCTTGATACATTTCAGGTGACACCAAGATGATCCAGGGAGGGGGCCCCGAAGCCCCGCCCCCCAAAACCAGGAAGTGCCTCTCTCATTGGTGCAGAGGCCGGCCAGTGTTCCAGCACCGTAGACCCTCCCACCGAGACATGATTGGTTGCTTGTGACGGCGGCGACCGCTCGGCTACAGTCCGCAGGTCTCCGCCCCCCCATCCCCCCACCCACCCCCTCCTCTGGCGCCTCACCTCAACGCAGATGGACATCCTGGCTGCGATTGGTGGAAGTGTAAGAGGGGGCGGGGCTCACTGCTGTTTGGAGCGCCAGAAACGCATGGCGATGGAGCCGAGAGAGACTCCCTGCTTCTTCTGCTGGGAGAGCTCGGCCAGACGCTGCTCCTCCTCCTGAGAAACGGACATCAAACCAGTCAAATCTAAGAACATCCAGACAAAACAAAAGCAGGGTGCGTTTGATTTGTCCTCCTACCAGTGCCAGCTGAGCCTGTCTGCGTTTGAAGGCCTCGATGGGGTCCTCCTCCAGAGCGTAGTTCTCCAACACTGAACGCACGTCCTCCACCCCGCTCAGAGCGATGGCTGACAGAGAGCAGGAGGTCCAACAGTGACTTTCACTCTCATTACCAGAAAACTCAGTGGGCCTCATTCACGAAGGTTCGTTTCACTCTTAAATATGTTCAGAAAAACAGATGCGGACCGTAGTGAACCAGGATTGTTCACAATTGTTGGATGATTGTTCCAACAAACCAAAATCGCCCTTTTTGCCGTATGCAAACTAACAGTTAAAGGTCAATATCACAAGAAACCAGAGCCTAAGCCCCTCCCCTTCCGTGGGACCTTATTTCAGAAAAGTCAACGACGAGAGACGACAAATGTTTTGATCGCGTTTGCGTCACATATGGACAGTCTGTCAAAAACCCCTGGGGTCACTTTTTACCGCCCCGGATCCCCTTTGGCGCTGTTTTTGCACATGTAGTCAAGTTAGCACGAATAAATCTGCACTGTCCGGTTAGACTTTCAAAAACTACTTAATAAGGTTTAGGAAAAGATAATGGTTTGGGTTAAAATAACTACTTCCGTAAATTAAATAAATAGATTTATTCATTTAGTTTTGGTCCAAAGCGACTTACAATTGCTGTACATGTCAGAGGTCGCACGCCTCTGGAGCAACGAGGGGTTAAGTGTCTTAATCAGGGGCACATCGGTGGACGTGTCACAGTGGGGAATTGAACCCGGGTCTCTCACATCGAAGGCAAGTGTCTGATCCACTGCGCCTTCACCACCTTCTCCAACCCCACGTAAGTTAAGTCACGTTACTTGCGTAACTTCTATAAAAACATTCCTGTCTTTTTGTTTTACGTTGGAAACGAACATCATTCTCCTTGTTGAAGCGTCCGGTTTCTGGCCCACCCGTCCACTCGTCCACCCGTCCACCACCATACTCTGACTTTTCCATCAAATATCCTACACCTAACTTTAGCGTTCAGAAATGACCTACAGGGCCTTCCCCTAGTGCGTTGGACTGTGACGCTAAGGGGCTCCGCCCAGTGATGACGCGTCCAAAAGTGACGACCTGGGAGTGAGAACGCGTTGGTTGGCGACGTGTATTGTGCGGGACGAGAGATGTAGTTATATTTTAATGACCTTCTCTGTGCTGGAGTTCTTTTAAGAACCTGATGGTTTTACGCAGTTTGTTTTTAAATTTGTAAGGAACTTTATCGTGCGTCTCTACATTAAACTCCCACATTAAAAAGCTGATTTTAATGGTCAAGCACAGCCTGAAGTTTTTCATTATTTCATTTATATATTTATAAATGTTGCTCGTGGATTGTGGTTACAAATAATGATGCCTGTGCGTCGCTGTGTACGGCGTGCGGGCCTCCAGCCCACAGCTGCTGGCTAATCTGCCTGATCTTCTCAGGTCCTTAGACCGCGGCGGAAACGCACACAACGGAGGGCTGAAGGAACCTTTTAGGTCCTTGAAAAGAGAGTCCCGGGTACTTTTGGTCGAAATACGGCTAAGGTTTCATGAATGAGGCCCAATGTAGTTCACCTTAAAGACAGAAGACAAAATGCACTCATTTCCTTTCTATCTGAGGTGAGTTGAGAAGCTTTCTGTTTGTGTACAGACTAAACAAACTAGAAGTTAGTGAGCTTTAGAGGAGCTGGTCCAGACTCGTGTCTGTACTTCAGACAGAAAGCAAAAACTTTGATCCTTTGTTTAAAACGCAACAACTACTGAAAACACAGGAAAGAAAAGAAAGATGGACCCCTGAACGTCTCTCGTTGGGCGTCTTACTCTTGAGGAAGTTGGCGAGGTCATAGAGCGTCCGGTCCTCCGAGTTTCCGTCCCATTTCTTCAGAGCCATGCCGTTGAAGGGCTGCAGGCTGAACGCCTCCCGTTTACAGTCCACCACGATCACCTTGCTGGTGTCCCGGTTCAGACACGACACGTCCTGAACAGACGAGACACAGAGGTCCACATGTTAGAGATACTACGCAGAGATTAAAGTGGGATGCCAGTGCGCTCTCGTGTCTTTTTATTGAGCTTCAGATAATTATTATAGTATCACAAACTAAAAAGACCCTTTGGTTTTGTTACCCAACATAAGCTGCAGGACCCTGTTGACCTTTTTAGGGCCTAATCAAGTAACTTTATTACATTGATGATCTTTAATATTCAAAGTACAACCCACAAACACACACAAAAACACTTTCTCTGGGAGCTCCAGCTGGTGACTGTTGGTGTGTGTGTGAGAGAAACAGATGGAGAGGGCGTGCGTGCGTGCGTGCGTGCGTGGAAACCCCAGCGGACACATTGGTGCATCCTCCTCACAACCCAATGAATAAAAGGCATCCGTCTTCCTTCAGTGTGTGTGAAGCTGAAGTGTCTGAACTCACAGCTGCACAATACCGACATTTAGGTTCATTCACCCCCGTTTTCACTTTAAATGGTTTCGACCAGCCGGGTTCATAGGATCACTCGCGGGGGTGTGGGGGGGGGTTCATACCTGTTTTAAGGGTCACGGGCCGAAAAGGTTCAGACAAACAAATATACAACTTTTTGTGTGAATGACTAAATCGATGGAGGCGTTTCATTTTTAGGGTAATTTATTTACATGTCAGAACAACTGACGGTGTTAATTTCACTCTGCTGAAATACAACATTTATTTTATTTGCTCCCAGGGTCCATTATCTTCTGTCATTCGATAAGTTTCAGCCAATCACAACAAGCAACGTAGCAACAATGGCGGTTACCCCTTATACTTTACGTTTTCATAAAGCCCAGGCGAAAGTAAAAGGAGCTGTTATAAACAGATGCTTCCAGTCTGTGAAGGTGCACCTGTGTACAGGTAGCCTCGACAGCAGTGGACCAGCTGCTGGTCTCTGACGTAGACCAGATTCCCCTGCAGATCCTTCTGAAAGCAGGACTGAGCTGCTCTCTCCTCCTTGTTAAATGTATTTATTTATTGTTTATTCAAACACTGTAAACGTAAAAAAAGCCTTTCTCACTACACGCAAATCAGTGATGTTTTATGGAGGACCGTGGTTAACGCTCATTTACACCCCCGGCCTGTCAACTTCCACTGCGCCACACTCCTCTGTCTTTGTATGGAAATGCCGCTCGTCAAATCTGCTCTGCGATGTTATTGGCAGGAGCCATCTGTGGCTGCAGCCTCTGTTCGGAGACTAGAAATAGAAATGACATCTACTGCTGTGAAGAGCAGACGCCGCACCAACGACCAGCAGAGGAAAGAAACCCCTGTCGCTCATCACAGTCAAAAAGGGAAGAATCATCATAAACTGAGTGATTAAGAATAGGCCAAAATTATTTCAAGTTTATTTGTTTGGTAAGTAAATACTTAAAAAAGAACCATGCTTTCTCTTCCTTGTGTTGTGCAGGTTAAGGGATCATTCATCAATAAATCCTTTTGTCATCGTCTCCTGAACTCTGCAGTTTTTGACTTTATAAACTAAACATGAGGGCGACACCTTCTCCCCCGTCAGCGGACGTTATGAATCACACTGTGTGTCCCGACGGTAAACCCTGCGTGGACAGCAGGTCCTGGAATAAAAACAACAAAGTTTGAAGGAAGACAGTTAATCCAACTGTTGTGTTTGCGTTTCTTATCCTGGGCAACAGCCAACAAACAATAAGACGTCTGATCCATGTCAGGCCTGCAGCCGACGCTCAGATGCAGGGCAGCAGACAATAGCTGCATGTTGGGCAGGTTTATGAGAGGGTGAGGAAGGGTCTGCTCGCCGTGGCTTAGGAGGAATTAATGATGCACGTTCAGCTGGTTATGATCATTGGTCATCAACATTTCTGTCACGTCTAACTACAGTCATTTGGAGGCATGTTACGGTCGTCTGCCTGTATGAGAATAATGAGAACGATAACTTCCTGACCAACACTCCAGGGTTTATCCACGGCACTGTGCAGGTGCAGCTGGACCCGATACCAGCAGAGTTACGGTGTCCCGGGCAGCTCGCTCTTAATGGCTGCTGCGGGTTTCTTAGTGTGCCTGTAAAAACTACAGGATCGTTTAGGCCAATAGACCAGCCTCTGATCGGGAAACCCCCCCGTGATTGTTGGCTGCAGGGTTAACCGGTCGACACGCACATAAAGGATAACATAGGTGTAGGCACACACCCTGTGATGGTTAGGGTAACGGGCTTCGGGGGGCTGTAAACAAGGGTCTATCAAACGCAGAGCCAGTCCTAAGATTGCGGTCCTGAAACTGCAGCCTCCGGTACTACAGGCTGCATTAACCTGCGCTATCAAGTCACATCTGATCCCTTTTGTTTTCAAACTGTCCATCGAGAGTCTGACCTTGAGTCAGGAGCGCAATAATAAATCAGAGGAGGACTCTTAATTACTTCTGTTTGTACGGCGTTACAGCCCCAAAAAATCCTTTCTGTTTTTCATCAGCTGACATAAACGGCAACATGTGTGCGATACATTAATTACACTGAACAGTCTGCCTCCACTAGTAAAGTTCTAGGATCTAAGAATAAATGGTGAAATATTTATTTAGAGGCTGGTGGTTCAATCCCCACGCTCCTCCTGTTCACTGCTCTACATTCGACCGTGTTTGAATTAAAAGCACAGATGGCAGAAAATGCACATCAGTGGATTTAATAAACAACATCTTTCATTTCATTTCCAAACTTTCTCTTGACATAAGTAGCATTTAAACTCTCCCTCAGCATATGGATTTGCATTTAATAACTCTCTCTTAGCATCTGTTGCACTCGGGTCTGTCTTGGCGTTATGGAGATGAGATGATAAGTGTGTCTTCTCTCTGGGAAGTAGGTTAACCAGCTCCTTACAACCTCCAGCCTGTTCGTCAATAAAACACAAGAGATGACAGTTGGAGGGAGACAGAAGGAGGAGGAGGAGGAGGAGGTGAAGAGGGAGGGAAGAGAGACATGAAGTGAAGGAAATAAGAGGAGAGAAGGAAGGCAGGGGTGAGATGAGAGGAAGAGGGGGGAGAGGGAAGGAGGCAGGAGGTTAATGAGGCCTGAAAGGGAGACAGAGGGGAGGAGGGGAATCACTGGCAGCAGCAGAAGGCAGCTATCTAGAGCAGACTCGGGGGTTAATGCAGCGGCGTGCTGCCTGTCTGTGTAACTGGTGTTTCATCAAGTTTCTTTACCAAATATCACCTTTGGAATCGACTGTGCAGCTCTGGATTTCTTTACACACACGTTCTTCATGAGAAAATACAATGTTGTCGTACAAAGTTTTAGTTAACAGACAGTTCAGAGTTTGGCCTTCCAGTCGGGCAGAAAGGTGAGCTGAGGTCAGGCTGAGCCCCTACAAGTGTTTATTATCACCACATATATTGGTGTTGAAATGACTAGAAGGTAAAAAGGTTTGGAATCTGTGCAGTAGACGCTTCAGCCAGACGCTGCAAACCAGCGTATCTGTTCGGAGCAATTTCACCCATCAAAATTACATTTACATTTATTCATTTAGCTGACGCTGTTTTCCAAAGCGACTTACAGCTGCTGTACATGTCAGAGGTCGCACGCCTCTGGAGCAACGAGGGGTTAAGTGTCTTGCTCAGGGACACATTGGTGGACGGGTCAGATTGAACCCGGGTCTCTCACACCGAAGGCACGTGTCTGATCCACTGCCCCAATTACGTCCACTAAAACGGTTTGTCATGAGAGGCGGGTTGTTGCAGGAAGACGAGACGAGTTTGTTTTGTACGTAGAGGAGTTGCCAGCAAGACTTTTCTTTCCTGACGTACAACAACAAACTCCTCTCCCCAACACTTCCAGTGGCGTCTTCAACACAACAAGTCGCCTCTCACGAGTTTACAGTTTTCTGTTAAAAACAAAGGGTCCATGACGTTGTCACACACCTGGTGCACTTCCTTATTCCTTTTTTGAAATAATTTTCAGTGCTTTGATATTTGACATGTGATGCCCATTCTCTGTATTTCTAATTCTATGAACTGCCTCAGCTTTTGTCTTGTAATCCGCTCGGTGTCTTTTCTCTGTGTTCACCCGACGCCACTTACCTGCTCCAAAGAGGTTGGACTATCACTGGCATTTCACACTGAACAACGCTCGCGCTCATTATTCTTCTGCATTGTAAACAAACAAATCCTCTAAGTTTGAGTTGGAACCAGGTTATTCTGTATGTTTCAGACTGGTGATTTCAGGTTGTGTTGAGGTTTTTTTGTAACAGAGTTTTAACTCTGGGCTGAAAAGCAGCGAGCCAGGAGGTCCAACGTTGTGTAGCAGATCTCTTCTTCTAAAGCAACAGAAAACCAGGGCTGTACCTTGACATGATGCCCCTCCATGTAGCGTGTTGCATCTCTGAAGAGACGATACATGACGAAACCCTGAGGGTCGATGCTGTCGATCAGAGGATACGCCGTCTGGACACACACACAGCAAAGGAAGGCAAAATAACCATCAGCTTCAGCCAAAACACACTGTTAAATTCTATTAATTCAATTTAACCAACTGACTATTTTTTAGTTTTGAGTCAAATTCAAACAAAAACACAAACTATTCTCTGGTTTCAGCTTCTTTGACTTGAGAAGCAGCTGAAAGCTCGAGCTTTAGAGGTGCCGGTTGCCTCTGAACTGAAGCAGGCTAGCTGTTGCACCCTGTTTTTTGTTGTCTAAATCACATTAAATAAAACTGCAACACCACTGGTTCTGCTCAGTTTAATTTCTTTGGGAAACGGTAACGTGTTGGACCGAGCAGGCAATCGGATGTTCCCTGCTGTGGGGCTGCAGCTGAAACACACGTGATGGCAGCTGTCCAAGCAGAACATAAAATGTCAGCAGCGTGACACGACTGTTAAACTGTGCGTCTCCTCAGGCAGCAGATCTGATCAAACAGCATTGTGAGAATAAGTGATAAACAGGCTCTCACCATGCCGGTCTCTGCCGTGAAGATGACGATCTCGTAGAGCGGTGCGAGCTGCTGGAACAGGTAGTCGATGCCCGGACGTTTCTTGAAACGCCAACCTGTCGACAACTGGAAACACACAATAATATATAATAAAGTTATTTCCTCAGATGCAGAATGAGACCGCGTTTCGTCATTGCGTTCTTCTTCTTCTTCTTGTAGAATTCTGGCAGTGTAGACGCTCATCACTACGTTCCAAGAGGAAGAAGTAGTAATAATATACAGCAGGGGTCGGCAAATAAGTTTTGCATCGGAGCAATTTTTCTCCATTAGATGGTGAGAATAAGACTTAATATTTGATTTTACTGAGTGGCAGTTTAAGACGCGCTGCAGTGTGTGTGTGTTCTGGTGTTTGATCCGCATCCATCAATCCCAGCGCGATGGCTCTTTGTCAAGCAGGCTCCAGACTCTCAGAATGTCCTTCAGAATTTTTTTACTTAGTAAAGTAAAAGCTCTCAATTCAACTCGAAATAAAGCATTGCCGCAAAAACCTTTTACTTTGAAACCACTAAAGAGGAAGGGATTATGCGGGCCAGATATTATTGTTGGCGGGCAGTTTTGGCGAGGGTCCATAATCAGAGAGAATTAATGCGTTTCCCTCGTCAATGTTTGTATAATATATGTATATGCATCGATGCAAGTTCTTTGTTTAATCCATGTAACTGAGAAAATAGTGAGGGACGAAGAACAAAGTGTCCAAAGTCTTTATTTCAAGCTAAAATAAACAACTCTGTAATGTCGCAGTCCGTTCACCGTAAAACGAAATTTATGTGGCCTAACGTTAGCGCAATAGCACGACGGCACCTGATCGGAAAGCACCCGGTGTTCTGCCAGCGGACCACAGACAAGATAACAGCAACTTTGCCGCCAAGCAAAAGTACTTCTTAAACGATGCATCGATTAAATAATCTGCAGAAGGCTTGAGTACCGAAATCATCGTTAGCTGCAGCCCTAATGGACTGTGGTGCAGAAACAGTGACAATGTTACACACTCAGTGGCCAAGTCACAATAACATATGGTTTTACTGAATTCACAACCTCACCGCTAGACGCCAAAACTCTTACCCTTTAAATGATGTCACAGGGAATAATAAGACAGGTTTAGCTTGGAGACACTAGTTCACTGAACTTCCAGCGAGTTCTGTCTCTCGTGTAACTGGCCTCGTTAGGGAGACAACCGTTAATATAATAATACCTTCCATTATTATTATCATCATACCTTCCGTCCGTTAGAAAGAAAACGTAACTTTGACGTGGCTCACAAGTCAGTAAAAACACAGAGTAAGCACTGTATTTATTATCTTACTGCAGCTGGAATCAACAACGTGTGCTGGTATCATGTACGACGCACGTAAAACAGCGCGTCCACAGCTTCATGGAGCAGGACTATCTGTAAACGTAGCAGCAGGACAGCTGTTGCTTCGTTATGGTCAGACGCTCAGAGGTCGTGACCTTTGCACTGAATGAAGCCTGGTTGCTGAACCACCTGAGAGGGCACCCACCTGTCGCTCAAAACGGCCACGTCCTCAATTATGCATAACTTTAAGCCTTAAAAGGGAACTGGACCCTACTTTCTCATGTTTTTCTGTCTATGTGACTAATTTGAACCATTTCTTCTGAAGCCGGTTCAGTATTGAGCGTTTCTGGGACAGGAAGTAAGGTTCAAGTGGTACGGCAGGTGAAGGTACTCCTGGGTCTGTTTGAACAGGCGCCAGTTAAGGCTCTGCACACCTGTCAGGCAGGTGGACGGAGTGTGAGTGTGTGTGTGTGTGTGTGTGTGTGTGTGTGTGTGTGTCTCTCTCTCGACAGGTGGTGGGACACACCTCCAACACACTCTCCATTTTCTCCACCTCTCCCAAAAAAGACATTAACCCCCAAATTCACCTCCCCTCCTCTTCCTTCACATCTATGACAATAACATTCTGTATTTAAAGTTAAACTGATATTCTCTGTATCTCGTGTCTGGGGAAGGACTGCAGAAGAGCATCAGAGGAGGAGTAAAGAAGTGCAGAGCAGGAGTGAGAAGGGAGAGAAACGAGGTGGAAGAAGGTTTGCTTGTAATAATGACAACTCATCGTTGCCATCCATCCAAATTTTTATTTTATTAGAATTAATTTATTTTATTTTATTTAACACACTTTTACCGTTTTGACTTTATTAGTATTTTTAATATATACATGTCTTTTTTTATTATTTTTTTTTTTTTAAACACAAACACTTTTACGGTTTTGACTTTATTTGTATTTTTATTTTTAATATATACATGTATTTTTTATTTATTTACTTTTACTGTTTTATTGACTTTATTTAATGAACTGTATGAAATGAATTGTTCTTATTATATTTTAAGCTTTGGCAATATTGTTGTTTGACATGAATTGAATGGAGGTAAGCGTGCAGGTTTCACTATATAGATTGATAGCTAGCTGGTTTTTAATAAGGGAGAATAAAGTAGAAACCTCATATTTGATGGTTTTCTACTTTAAAGCATCAGCGGAGCAGGGGGAGTGTGGAGAGACGTACCGACCACTCCGGGTGCAGCAGGACGTCGGTGAGCTCCAGCACCAGAGTGTAGGGAGGCTGGTAGTACGGCTCCTTCAGGGGGTCGGGCAGCAGCTTCGGGCTCGTCGGCTCGATGATCATCTGACCGTGACATCATCAACAGGGGACCAACACGCGGGGACACAGAGACAACAGGTCACACCGTGCCAGCACATTAACCGTGAACACATTTCACAACAGCATCCAGAGTCAGACGAGGAAGTCGACAAGTCTGAGAAAATTCAGGGAAGTCCTGCTGATATGCATCAGGAAATGCCCCGGATTTATTCTACAGAGACAGTAGACATAAGTTTGTGTTTACAGGAGCCAGAATGAGCTCCTACTGCCCCTGAAAAGCCCAAACAGGAAGCTGGGATATGCCCATTTAAAGATGTTTCTACACTACAGATCCTGAAGCTGTCGCTCATAGAGAAGATGATGCATTCATAAAAACTTTACACCACAGCTTCGCTGAACGCGCTGGAGGGAAACTCCCAAACTATAATCTGCAGAAATCTCACATTACACTGAGATGTTTGTGGTGAGGACAGTTTATTTAGGAGGTACAGTTTTCCATCCGGCAACAATGTGATTTCTATTTGATTGGGGTGATTAGGGTTTTTCTGTGAATCATCTGTAACAAAAGTATAAAGGATAAGAAAATCTCTGCCGACGTGGGTGAAGAAAGCGGTTACAGCAATTACTGGAGGTTCGTTTGTCAAAAGAACCCCTTCAGATCATTTTAAAGACACCAATAATATCAATGATATTAATTTGGGTTTTTTTCCCGTTCAGTTTGATTCAGCAATTTTATTTTAGTTTGAATTTCTAGCGTAAAAGCTAACGTGATCCTGCTATGCATCTTGCCTCGAGTCTTTAAGAGTGGTCTTTAAGCTTTTAGCTTCCTACCTCCTCCTGAAAATGCTTGTTAAAGTGATAAAGTAATTCATGTATGTATTAATATATAAAAATCTGTCTGTGTACTTATCGTACATTTATACAAGAAATGCATGCAAACAAACAAGAAAAGTACAAATCCCTTCCTTCTGCAATGGATTAAATTAAACTGATTAAATCAGTTTTTTAGGGCCCAAAAGTGTCAAATATTAAACGATATTGATATGAACCTTAATAAAATATGCAACCACTCGTCAGTTGCCAAATTTCCAGGAAAAAGACAAACCTGAAGACGTGTCCCCAGAAGTAGCTACAGCCCTGATACTTTCTGATTAATTGATTTATTGTTCTGGTTTGGGTTGATGACAGAATAGTGCATGAACGCATCACGTCAGGTTCAGGATGTCTGAAGGCCACTCACCTGTCTGTAGTCCTTGAAGTATTTGAAGGTTCTTTTCAACTGTTGGACGACTGGAGGGTCTGAAAGAAAGGCCACAGTGACAGTCACCCAACCTTTCAGAAATCATCTTCAAATAAAAGACAAATAACACTTCCACATGTTCAGGTTAAAACTTCTCTGATCTAAGAGAAATTAAGGAAAATATACAGGACGATATGCTCAACAATAAAACTACAAAGGATGAGACAACACATTTCAGCTGTAGTCTTAATGGGTCATAAAAACTACAACTCCCTGGGGAGACGCCACCCCTAACAGCTGATAACATCTGAAGGGCTCAATAAGCGTGTCTGGATGAACAGCCACGCCACGCTGAAGGTGAGAAGTCAAGTAGAGAAGAAGAATTATTTACTATATATATTTTTACATCTTCCTCTTCACACAGACGTGAAACTGTTTTAATTTCAGCAGCAGTAACCTAACGTGACCTGATTTCTTCCTTTCTTGACATCAAAAGTAAAGACAGCGCCCCAAATAACCTCACGTCCAAAGACAAACTGCTTCTTCAGTTTCAAAACCACATACGGCATTATTATCAAACCGGGTCGGACTGGATGGATTTAGCGCGAGGAGGAAACACATGTGACAACGGCCGGTTTTCAAAATAAGGCGTCTGTACAGGATGGAAATAAGATTAACTGGATTATATTCACAGAAAGTATAAAACATGTTGCATCTCCCCATTAAAAGTAAACGGACACATGCGATTTACTTTACCGGAGCCTTTCGGGGCCCCGGACCCACCAACCACAGTCTCTGCACATCCTGTGGGAATCACTCTTTAATTTATGCAATGGGGGCAAAAATGGCATAATTGTGAATGTACTTGTTCAGTATTCGGCAAATTTTCTCATTTTATTCAGTTTCGGCCAAGATGAAATTTCCAATGAAAACAATGGAGTCGCGGTGTTGGTCTGTTGTTTTGCCCTCCAGGTCACTGCGCATGTCACGTGACTGAAAACTATGAATTGGACAGACATTCAGTTCTTAGCATCGTCATCTGTGGTGATTTTCAGGTGATCAAACTGTGAAACGTTTGCCTGAATTAGCTCTCCAACTGATCCCAAAACTGGGAGCTGCTGAAGGCAACAGCCAATATTAAACCAACTACACCCAATTTCCCTACATGACGGCGTAGCTTCCTCCACGTGCTGGATCCCAAGTACCGTCACGTTTTCAGAATATTGGCATCATGCTGGTTAACGGGGTATCGAACGGTCTACAGAGTAGGGGTGTCACAAGAATTTGTGACACCCCTACTCTGTAGACCGTTCAAGTTTGTGTGAAGTCGAACATTACGCAGTTTTTTAAAATGATATTATACTATTATAAACTATGAACATGCACAGTAACCGCTGCTGGCGTCAAATCTAACAACCCACAAACAAAGCTGCAACAAAACGTACAAGAAGCTCACAGACATTTTACTTTTGGAGCGAAGCTGAATGAGATGCGATTGGTCTGGATGGCGACACGAGGATCAGGTGATCAAAGTTATCAGTGTGAGGATCAGAGGAGTCACCTGGTTTGACCTGCAGCCTCCAAACTCATCAATAAGGCTGAGACACGGCCTGCTGAGGATGACGCTGATAAGTTAGATAGCCGGGTCCTGCTAATAACGCCTCCAGCTGTCAACGCGCTAATGACTAGTAATGACAATAAAGACTCAGCTTCCCATGGGGCCGCGGGCTCATTACTGCAAATAGGAGCACAAGTGCGAGATATACACACGCTGTCCATGTCGCTCTCTAAACACACACGCTGAAGCTAGCACACTCCGGTCCCAGGGGACTCAATACCCCAGAGTTCATAGCGGCGTGCTGAAGCAGGAAGCAGAAACCATCTGCCACAGTCCTGCTGTGATGACGCGCTGACGCTTTCACACGTGCGGGTGTGAACACGAGTGTGATGGGGGGGTTTAATAAAGATCAGAGGTGGAGCAAAGGTTAAAGAAGACGAATGTACAGAAACTCAAGTGTACCGACATAGAAAAAGGTTACAGGTCAAAAAGAAAAGCTTTGATTCATCTTTACAGGAATACGAGTCCTGATGCCGACATTTAGAGAGCAGGGAGGCCGAAACATAAAGCCGATACCAAAATAAGGAACATTATTCCATGCAGAGCTTTAGGGCGCTGTGACCCATCCACCAATGTGTCCCTGAGCAAGACACTTAACCCATCGTTGCTCCAGAGGCGTGCGACCTCTGACATGTCCAGCAATTGTAAGTCGCTTTGGATAAAATCAAGTCAGCTAAATGAATAAATGTAATTTAACCGGCGCTGTTGAAAAAGCTCGTTAGGAGCCAGCTGTTCATTTTTTCAGAAAGTATATATTCTGTTTCAAGTCTGTTTTTACGCTAGCCAAAATTAGCATCCCAGTTAATACAGGGCTCGACAGTAACGGTGGCCCGATGGCCCCGGGGCCAGTAAAAGCAACGTCGCGACAGCTGAACTAGAAACTCACTGGTACACAAAAACAGTGTTTAAAAAAAAATAAATTAGAAATTAATTAGAGAGTGTGCGCGTGTGTGTGCATGGGGGGGGAATATCAGTGTATCCCTGTGTCAGCCTCGTCAGTATGTGTGGATGCCTTCTGTGATGTGCTTGGTGTTGGGGGGCTTTTATTATGTTAATCGACTTGAAATGGGAGAGGATGAGAGGTGGTGTTGATGGTGGAGGACGGAGGAGTGGAAGTGATGAATATTTGTCCTCCTGTCAGCTTCAACTACCGAGTGGAGGAAGTTGGCCAAGGTAAAAGTTAATGTCCAAACTTCAGTGGCGCTCTTTCACTAGCCAACCAGGTTTTCAGTTTCAATCAGGGGCCCTTATTTGTGGTTCTTACGGTCTGATGATTTTAGCTCAGTGCACTGGTATTTATAAACAGGAAAGGATCTGAATCAGTCATATTTATTCCTGCCTTGTACTTCGGGTACTAATTTACTCCATGGTTCAAATGATCCAACTCCAGCTTCTCAAATTCTCAAAGTTTTCTTAATCTTTAAGTTTTGGACTGCTTGGTCGAAGCTACTTGGAAAAAGTCACTGGGGGTTGTCTTGTCATGTTTTAGTTTTTGACTTGATGTCTTTAGGCCTGAGAGAAACAATGTTTTATTTAAATAGCCTATATTATTAATTTGAGTTGAAATGACATAATAAATGTCTTTCTTGAATGCTTTGTTGACTATTCGACCACACAGGAAAACATTAAACGTGTCTGATTACAATAATGACGTCCGAGGTGCGGCGAGGAGCTCGGGAGCCGTGACCCTCTCACAGCAGGGGGTTGACGAGGCTCCATAAAGGCCCCGTCAACACGCAGATTTGGAAAACGTGTCGAGGCTGTCCTGCCGACGCTACCTGTGGACTATCCAACGAAGGTTAAAGTCCAGGGCAATTGGACTTGGTTGAAGATACTGGAAGACGTTTCGTCCCTCATCCAAAGGACTTCTTCAGTTCTGACTGACTGGCAGGGAAACTCAGCTATTTAACCTCAGTGGGGTCGTTGGCCCGGGTCATCGATACCGCTGGTTCGTTAGTGTTCCTTGTTGCTGTGACGACAGTCGTTACAGTCGTTAAGACTACCTGTGGCCAAGACTGAACGACCATCGTTGGTATCTTCACCTGAGGCCGAGACTGAACGACCATCGTTGGTATCTTCACCTGAGGCCAATAGGTTACGTTTGTTGAGTTTCCTGGGAAGTGATGAAAGGACAGCATTGTAAGTGGGGGATAAGTGGTGGCGTAGACCCCCTCCCCTTTTCAATGACGGCTTCTCCACCCTGGTGTAGATGTTCATCTACGATTTAACCTGAGATGCCGACAACACAAACCATCTACACCCGCTGAGTTTCCCTGCCAGTCAGTCAGAACTGAAGAAGTCCTTTGGATGAGGGACGAAACGTCTTCCAGTGTCTTCAACCAAGTCCAGTTACCCTTGACTTTAACGTTCGTTGGATAACTATGACCTGGATGACTGAGAATCTTCAGAGATACCTGTGGACTAACGAAACACTCTTGCAGGTGTCAGTCTATGTACCAGCCCTGTGACAGACTGCCATCCTCTCCAGGTGTACACCACCGATCTCAAACTACCTTCGCTTAGGGACTTGAACGGTCTTGAAGGGTTAGAGAGTTAGTGTTGTTGGCGTGTCCGCTTTCTCATACAGAGCTCTGGAGCTGTTCGCATTGCTTCAATAGAAATCTTCTCATGTATTCCACCAAACTTACTCTTTGAATGTGAAATGACTTCCTGTTTGTCTGGCGTCTTCCTTCCCCTCCCTTGTCTCTCTCCTTTCATCTTCTCCCCAAACTCTAACGCTCTTTCATTCATAGTCAATCTCGGTTCTTTGAGCGAGAGGCCTCACTTTGAGGTCGAGCCGTTTTCCTCAAAACCGGCCTGGGTGGGCCGATCTGGGCCAAACAACTTCCCTCCTGCTCTGAAAGTTCCGGCGTGATGATCCTGGCTGAGGTTGTGGTACTATGAGTGCACAGACTTCGCTGCTATACAAGCCCTGTACAACATCAGCCCAATAAGGGCCTGAGCCGACAGACACGGGCCTTCAGAACAAGGTGCTTTACAGCTTTAATGTTGTTATTTAGCTTTCTGGAACGAGCTCCACATATTTCAAAAGAGAAGAAATGCATTAGTTTTTTCTGCCCCTGTGTGGTGAGAGAATATTACCTTTTAAAGATGTTAAAGGATGGATGGAAAAAAGGAAGTGGATATAAACAGCGGGGAGAAAGAGTTAAGGAGGGAGAGAGAAAGAAGAGAGGGAGTAGCCGATCAAAACAGTGAGAGGAGAAGAAAGAGGGGGAAGGATAAACAGAGAGAGGCAGGAATGCAGCGTAGAGAGGAGGAGGTGAAGAGAGGAGGAAAGAGGGAGTAAAGAAGAGAAGGACAAGTGACAGAAAACAGGATTAGAGCGGAGATTGCAAGATAAAGTGATGTATGAAAGATGACGGGGGGGGAAGGAGAAAAGACGAAAGAATAAGGAGGCAAAAAGAAAGGGTGAGTAAAAAA